GTTTCATCTGTCTCATCCCCTTGGATGGATTTTGGGATTCTGGCTGCCCTGGGAATGCAGTGGCTGCCTTGCTCAGGGCTGATCCTGGCTCTACCTGAACCCCAAAACTTGAGGGTGCCCCTGGCCACCTGGGATCCACCATTTGCAGGAATGCCACAGGAAGCAGCAGCAGCATGGAAAAGCCCCTTTTCCAGCTGCCTGGACCTACAGATCCCCCATCCCAAGAGCCCCCCGTGGTTTCCCCATTCCTTCCCTCTCCCTGGAATTCTGGCTTGCCCATTTCCAGTGGTTTCCTACATTCCCTATCCATGGATTCTCCTGGCTCCCTTCCCCATCTCCATTTTGCTCTGTTTTTTGCACTCCACAAATCCCATTCCATGGAGGGAAAGGCCGGCCACAACCCCTCCATCCAAATTTCCAGACTGAAGAGTGCTCAGAGGATCCCCAAAATTCCCTCAGCACCCACATTCCAAGGTTTGGGTGCTGTGAGAGTGGCCTTAAAGTATTCCAAAAAGGAGCAGGGTGCTGTTGTAGTCCCTGATATCCTGGAATAATCCCTGGTGCAAAAAGATGGAATAGAAGCTTTCCAAGAAATCCTGGTAAAATCCTAATTTTCCCTGTCCAGTTCTCCCAGTTGCTTGGAACCAGTCAGGGAATGTTGTGACCCGGGCAATACAGGATCCCGTATCCCAAATTTTCCAGCTGTTCTGCTCAAATATAACCCTGGAATGTGGGGTGTGGGTTTGAGTCCCCTCAGGTGGTGTCACCTCCTACCTCGAGAGTTAAAAGGAGGAGCTTTTTGGGATTCTTTGGCTGGGAGGGGGAGGAAGCACCGAGGGCAGATTTAGGGGATGATGTCAGCGTCAGGAATGTGGGGTGTGGAGGAATCCCATCAGTTTGGGAGATACCCATTAGTGCTGTCATCACCCAGGTGGGTAAACTGAGGCACGGGGAGATGCTTCAGTGGTGTCACACAGGAAATCCCGGATGGTGACTCCTGCTGCCGCATTCCTGCTTGGGTTTAATGGCATTGCCATGGGCTAAATCCGTGTTCTGTGGTGGGGATGGGAAATACGGGAGTAAGAGGCTGTCAGAATCCATGGGGAATAGGGAGAGCCATGGGGAATTGTGGAAAATCAGGTGCACCCCATATTTTATACCCCATATTTTATACCTCATATTTTATGAGGTGGTTCCCTGGCTATGGTGGGAATGGGCAAAATGGAAATGAGGGAATAAGAAGAGTGTCGGAATCCGTGGAGACACAAGGAATACGGGGAGCCGCGGGGAAATCCGGGAAACATTGGAAAAGGACGAACTGGATTTTTTTTGCGGCCCCAGCGGGCCTCGAACCCGCGACCCAGCCATCATTTCCTGCTCCCACCTCCCCCTCAGAACTACAACTCCCGGCGTGCCTCGGGGCCGGCGGAGCGTTGAGGGCGCGGCCAATGGCAGCGCCGCGGGGCGGTGACGTCACCGCGGGTGACGTCAGGGGTCCAGAGAGAGGCTGGGGCAGAGGCGGCCGGAGCGGCTGAGGGAGCGCGAGCGGCGCGGGAGGGGGGGCCCTGTCGGCGACAGCGGCGACAGCAGCGACAGGAGCGGCGACAGCGACAGCGGCGGTTCCCAGCGCCTCGCGGCCCGGCGTTCCCCCGCTCCTCTCGGCGCCGGGCGGCCCCGGCCCGCGGCGGCGGCGCTGACAGCCCGCCCGGAGCCCCGGGGGCGGCCGCGGCCACCATGTCGTCCCCCAGCCCGGGCAAGAGGCGGATGGACACCGACGTGGTCAAGCTGTATCCTTACCGTGCCCTCCCGGCCCACGGGGGGACGAGGATCCCCCCCTTCACCGCCGGGCCTGCAGAGGGGTTGGGAGGGTGGGGGGGGCACCGGGGAGCCCCGCCGGGGTCACCCCCAGACCCCCCCATTGGCAGCTTCTCTGCCTTTCCCTAGAGCTGAGGGTCGGATCTGCCCCCCCTGCCCACCAGGGCAGGCCTAACCCCCCCGTTCCTGTCGGATTTTGGGGGTTTATCCCCCTCTGGGGCCTGGCAGGTGGGCTGGGGGTGTCTCTGCAGACCCCCCCCCCCCNGGTGCCCCGAACCCCCCCTGCCTGCCCTGGGGAGGGCGAGGAAGGGGAGAGCCCTTCCAGCAGCCACAGCCCAAAGAAAGGCTTTGGTGGGGGTTATTATTATTATTTATTCCCCCATTTCACCCTCTTAGGGATTTAATTTTTTTGGGGAGGACGGGGGGGTTCCCTCGGGGTCTGGCTCAGCAGACCCAGGGGTGGGTGAAGGGCATCAGGGCCCAAGCCTGTCTCCCAAGAGCTTTATGTAACCCTCCAGGTTTGGTTAGGCTTTATTACTTTTTATTTTTCCCCTTCTTCCTTCATAGATCTGTTTATATTTTTCCTCCTTGTTTTTTTTTCTTTCTGTCTGGAGAGTGGGTGGCGTTGAAAAATACCATCGGGAATTGGGTTCTAGGATTGTTTTATTAATAGTTTTTGTTTACAAGGTGGCGGTGTGAGGGTAGGAATGGCAAGAGTGGATGAAATATTGCTCGGATCTATCGCCTGAACGTGCCCAGCACGACTTGGGGCTGGTGGTGTCGAGGGGTCGAGAAACGAGTCTGATTTAGTTCCCAGAGAGAGATAAACAAACTTATCAGGATTTGGTGGTGTTTTTTTGGAAGGTGGGGGGGGAGGGAGGAGGGAGGAGCTCCTGCTTGTGGCTTATCGAAGGAAACTTGTCTGACGTTCCTTTCTCCCCACAAAGCTGCTCTCGGTGTGTGCTTTTCACCCTGTTTTGAAGCAAATAGGAAATGAGTCCTGATGGTGCTCGAATCGGAGCTATTTTTATCCGGGGGTTTAAAGTTACACACATGTCAGACTCCGCCGATTGCCATCGATGCTCGATCGCACCGGGAGGAGGCTGGGGAATTCCAGCTGTGTATTTAGCGGGGAAAAACCTTTTTTAGGGATACCCCATAAAACATCTCTGGGCCACAGAGGGGCCAGGCCCGACCTGCTCGGCTGCTGCTCTGCTTCCCTTTCCCCTCCCCCTCTCTTTTCCTTTTTCTTCCCCCCCCTTTTTTTTGTTGCCGGCTTCTCCAGCGACCGCAGCATTTTGGAGGACAAAGAGCAGGTTTTTCCCTGCCAAGTGGCTTTGCTGGGTGTTTCTAGGTAGAAATCCCCGAATATCTGCCATTCCTCTGGCTGCCGGGCACTTTGTGCTCCGTTCTTTCTGCCCCCCTGACAAAAGGAACCCCCGATGGCTTTTCCCTTGTTGTGGGCTCCGCTTTTCCTTGTTTTCCGAGGGGTTAGAGCAGCCGGTCTCCTGCGGACAACAAACTTAGGAAGTTGGATGTGTCAGATGACTCCTCAGCACTCCTCCCTCCCTCCCCAGCCTTTTTTTTGTTTGTCTGCCCGGCTCGCCCGGGGTGAGCAGCTCTGCAGGCCCCGAGACGCTTCCCTGGGGAATCATCTCCGTTCTGAAATGTGAAATCAGCGTCTCCTTTGAGACGTGGCAGCGAGCAGGGGCTCGGTGCTGGCCGGAGGGTGAAGGAATGTGCTTGAAGGCAGCTCCTCCTGGGGCTTTCAGCGTTTTGTTGCCGTGTAGGGGTTTTTGTTTGGATTTTTTTTTTTTTTTCCTTTTTGCTGCCATTTTCATTGCGGTTTCCCTTTTCATCCCCTTTCCACGTCTCCAGCAGAGAATAGAAGTGTGAATTTATGGCCTGCCAAGGGTTACCTTTCCCACCAGGGAGGGGGCACCGAGCAGGGTGAATAACACTCCTGCCTTCCCCTGCTCTGACAGGTTTAGGAGCCGAGCTGGGTCTTTTTTACGATTCCTATTTTCAATCCTACCACGTCCGTGTCCTTTTGTGGATGCCTCTTTGTGAGGAGGAGGAGGAGGAGGAGGGAAGGGGAGAGGTGGCTGCTCTCGGTGGGGCTGCAGGAAGGGAACGTGTTGGAACCGAGGTTTAATCATCTCCTGCTCCACTCATTGTCTCCCTCCGGGCTGGGTTTGTGCTGCTGAGCCTGGGAATTGAGAACCTATAAACATTAATCGTAAATCCTCCTTTTTTTGGGGGAGGGCTCCAGCCAAAGTTTCCTGGGTAACCCAGAGCAGGGCTTTTACAGGAAGGCTCAGTGCTCCCCAAAACACCTCCAGACCCGCTCGCCGTGACCTGGAATCGCAGGATTATCCCACTGGGACACCCCAAACCCTCTCCAGGCAGCTCCCACCCTGAATGGGGGCTCCCCTTTGTGTCTCCCCCCCATTTTTGGGGTGAGTGCCAGCCGTGTTTGCAGAGGAAAGGCCCGGAGCTCTCACAACTCCACGGATTGGCTGCTCTGTTACTACCCGGAAACCGGGCCCGGGGCGGAGCGAGGCTGCAGCTGATGGGGTGTCCCTGTTTACACCCATGGGGAGACCCACCCCAGCACCCCCAGCCCCCCCAAACCACAGGGCAGCTTCCCTTTCCATCCCCGGGGCTGATTGTTCTGTCACGGCTTCCCCAGTTTATTTATTTTCCTCCTTTTGTGGACGAACGCTGCCTGGCTGGCTTGGAGTCGCCGAGCTCTATTTTTAAGCTGGTAAAGGGAAGTGTCACCCTGTTTTGTGCCTGAAAGGAATTATAAATAGTGGGTAGCTTTGTTTGAAGCTCTCCCTGTGCTGCCCAGTTTGCAGAGCTGGGGTTTGGGAGCGTTGCACTCCCTGCTAATTTTAGGCTCGTCCCGAGTCAAGGAGAATAAAAGTACAAAGCTCCTTAGTTTACCTGCAGAGCATTTTGTAATCTCCAAACTCGCCCCCGTGTTTGCTCCATGGAGGCAAAGGGTAGAACAGAGTTTACATTTGGGATAAATTCCTTTTTTTTCTGCTCATTCTAGGCTTACAGTGCACTTATCATGGCACTTGAACACCTTCCAAGAGCAGCGTTGGGCAATCGGCCTCACGTGGCCGTGTTCTCTTTGGCCTGTCCCCAGGGAAGAGTGTGTGCACTGGAATGTCTTGTTTTGGTAGGGTTTTGGTTGTTCTGTTGGGGTTTTTGTTATGATTTAAAGGATGGATATTTCTGGAAACTTTGAATGTAAATTTTTTTTTTTTTTTTTTTTTTCGGATGTCACGCTACGCTTCTCTGCGCTCCGCTTCTGGGGCTCTGTTTTTAATGAGGTCTCCAGGGATCAGGGGAATCGTGTGGTGATGCTTCAAAATGCACAAAGAACTGGGAGAGCCTCCCCCCTTTTCCCCAGAAATGCTGGCACAGGTGGTGGTTTATAAATCAAACCAGGTAAACGTGGCTTGGGAGGTGGTGCCTGTCACGAGGAGAACTCAAAATCCATAAATCTGCCCAAACCAAAGCAACTGGGGGGAAATAAATAATCTTTGTTACCTAAATGACAACTTCCAAGGGTATCATCTTGCTGCTTTCAGAGCAGAATTCGCTGGTAGCTGGATGATTTTTTTTTTCCCAGAAAATTGGCTGGAGCTGGAATTTCACTCTCCCTTTGTTGCCTTGTCAGTTGGATTTGGGAGGATTTGGGATCACACCTGAGAGCCCAAGTGCACCTGTTTAATCATGGAAACTGGGAAATTTGGATTTGCTTAGGGCTACTTGGAGCAGAGTTCCTATTGGAGCCCTGCTTCAAATAATAAAAATATGGATAATTTTAATTATTTCTTAATTATTTCCCCATCTCGTTCCCCAGACCCAGAGCAGAGATTTTTTGGAATACTGAGTAGTCTGGCAAAATCTGCTTCCCAGATTCCCAGTTCTGAAGAGCATTCAATCCTGATTCAACAAATTCTAGAGGCCTTTTCTTTGTGGTGAGGGTTTTAAAACCCCAAAAGCAAACAGGAAAACGATGTCCTTGCTCTCCCCTCCACTGGCTCCAGGAAGGTTGTGCCAGCTGTTTTTTCCTGGCTGGGTTGGATTTGTAGTAGGGGATTGTTTTTAAGTGTCATCATGACTATTTTACAATCCTGGAGAGCTTTTGGAAACATCTCCCAGAGTGACTCCCACGTGCTGAGCATTTCTCAGCAGCAGGAGCTGATAATGGGAGCTCAGAGCTCAGCTCCCAAGATTTTGGATGGAGCAGGAGATGCCCCTCAATCATTTCCATTTCATTTGCCAGGGGAAAATTGCATTTAATCTTCATGGGAAGATTCTGGTCATCGTCCTGCACTGGCATTAAATGGTGGTTGGGTTTTTTTAATGTTTTTGGGGGTTTTTAAAATTAATTTCTCCTCCAAACTCACCCCTCAAGTTGTTCCCAAAAGAATAATTCCCTGCTCTGTGTCCTGGGGGAAGGAAAAGCCAAGCAGTGCTTGAACTGAAAGTTTTGATAAATTTTTTTCTCTTTGTTTCTCTGGAATTTTTTTTGCTAAACTGAAAGTCGTGATAGACTTCCCCCCTCTTTGTTTTCTTCTTTTTTCCT